CTTTCTGCTCATGGACAATAAACACGAGTCTTGACAATTTCATATGGCATATAACACAATCAACAATCCAGAGCTGGAGCATTTATGGCATAGAATTTTACAAATGACGGTCAAGGGCATCATTTCAGGAGAGCAGGGGGGACAACAGGCATGTGTACTGGGATGCTGCTTGCTTTTCTTCCCATTCCCTTGACTATCAGGGAGCGAGGGGAAACTACGTGGCCTGTGTGCTTGACTAGCGCTCCTAGCTGGTGAGGGGAAGGGCAGAGAAGTAATTCACAAAATCTGTGTTGTTACCCAGTCAGTAGAATGGGAAGAAAGGCAAACAGCATCCTGGTATGCATGGCTGCTGCCCCCGCTGCTCTCCCAAAATGGCACCATTGATGGTATATCTTCTCCGTATCATTGTGTGAAATGACGCTTGTGGTGCATGGGACTGAGCTTTTCCAAGCCTGCTTCTACCCTTATCGGTCTTTAAAAGATTTTCTTACTTTTAGACTCCTGAAAAATGCAAAAATTGGCCTGGAGTAAACTACTTTCTGAACTACTTGAAGTTCTCTCTTTCTGTCTCTCATTAATGATCCATCTGTTTTTCCTCCTGCTAGTGCCACTTTCTTATCAATACAGAATGTATTTGTCTGGCTTTACACCTATCATTTTCATATGTGTTGTTGGCACTTCAGTGACCTAGCACTGTGGGCATCAGAGAAGCTGAATATCTGCTAGAAAAAAATCCCAAAATAGCTGATGTGGGGGAGCAGGAATTGTGGCGAATGTGAGCATTGAGAAGAGGTGCCTGTGAGCACCTAAAAATATCTTGCTTTTTTCTGGATGGGAGAGCTGTGCCACAGAAACTCTGCATGTTACAGGCCTCCATGGGTTTCAGGATGGCATTAGGCCAGAGAGTCATACTGTGGAGGCAGCTGCTATATGTAAGCAGGGGAATGGTCCTGCTATTGTGGGGAACTTTCCTGGCTTCTATACCACCCCGGTGAAATGGACCAGTGAAAGGATCTGAGTCTCTGCTCCCACTTCTTTTACCCAAAGGCCTCTCTGACCCTGAGGGCTCCCCCTTCCACTCTCCCGAGTAGCAGAGACCTCAAAATCCCAACAAGACTGCGCCCAGGTTTTCTGGGGCTTAATCCCCGACCGTGTAGTCAGTTAGAGCAGCATCTAGGGTGTCCCCACTCTGGGGTGTTCTCTTCACACTAGATGCTTTCTTGACCCACTGATCATTACAGACAGTTCAAAGCAAGTACAATTTATTAAACAGCAAGGCTATGTCTACACTGGCGGCTTCTTGCACGAGTAATATGCAAATGAGGCTAAGCATGGAATATCACCAAGCCTCCTTTCCATACCTAATGAGCCACCATTTTTTTCAGAAGAGGCTCTTGCGCAAGAAAGAGCGTCTACACTACCCCTTCTTGCGCAAGAAAAACCCTCTTGTGCAATGCTGTTCCTGAAAAGTCATAGGTGTAACAGCATTGCACAAGAGGGTTTTTCTTGCGCAAGAAGGGGTAGTGTAGACGCTCTTTCTTGCGCAAGAGCCTCTTCTGAAAAAAATGGTGGCTCATTAGGTATGGAAAGGAGGCTTGGTGATATTCCATGCTTAGCCTCATTTGCATATTACTCGTGCAAGAAGCCGCCAGTGTAGACATAGCCTTGCTGTTTAATAAATTGTACTTGCTTTGAACTGTCTGTAATGATCAGTGGGTCAAGAAAGCATCTAGTGTGAAGAGAACACCCCAGAGTGCTAGCCCAACTGATTAAAAAGAAAAGCATAAGAACAAATGCACAAGGTTAAAAGAACACATAGCCCCGCTCTGTAGCAGGGGGCCATCACAAACAGCAGTTTGCAGAGTGTAAGGACAGTTCACAGTCTGTTCCTTATAGGTCCCAGGGCTCTCTCTCAGGCCCTGGCTGTGCTGCCGGGGGGGTTGCAGGTTGGACACACTTGTTCTGGCAGTGACCACATGACTTCAGGCACTAGGTGGCAGGACCCCTCTCCCAGTTGGAGTTACAATCCCTCTCCAAGTCTGACCTGCAGGGCCTCTGGGCTGGTGGCCTCCTCTGCTGGTCCCAGCTGCTCACCACACCGAGCTCCAGCTGCTGCTGCTTTGCCAGCCTCCAGCTCCTTGCATTGCTTCTCTGACTCCTTCGGCTCCGGTCACTGCACGTCTGCTTCTTAACACAGGGTCTGCACTCTGTGGGCTGTATGGGCCTCTTGCTCTGTCACTGCAGGTCTGCTCCTCAGCATAGCTTGCTTTCCTTGCTGCTCTTCTTAGCTCGCTCCTCCTTTGACTCAGACCCAGAAAATCCCAGCTCACACGGTGGACGGGACCTGGCCTTCTAATTCTCTCATTGGTATGGCCAACCTGTCAATCAGGCTGACCAGGAGTGTTGGCCTCTTCCCATTGTCTCTGGGGACTGTCAGTCTCATGGACCCTTCCTCTTTTGGTACTGGGAGCAGGCTAACCAAAAACTCCCACTAGGTTTTAGTAAGGTGCTAACAGTGCCCTTATGTATATGTGGTACTATCTCCTGTTACATGGGAGGCCCACAGCAATAAGAGTCCTGAGCTGTTGTAGAAGAGAAGGGCTGGCTTGCTGCATGAATTCCAAACAAATTCATAGATTTCTCCAATTCTGTAAGGCCAAAGTGCTTTGGAAACATCACATCTTGAACCTTTACATCACATCTTGAACCTTTCACATCTTTACATGGTGTTTTCCATGTAAATTTCCCTCCCATGGGTTTATTTTTACGGCGTGAGTTTATAGGGCCTAAAGTGCCTCACACACACAAAATTTCAGTATTTGATTAAACCTATTTTAGGAATCATTTACATTTTCTCTATGCAAATATGCTACTCCCTAAAACTTGCTCTAGCTATTCAAGGTCTTAGCACAGTGGTTCTCAAACTTTTTGGCTCACTCCTTACCCCACTCAACGTAAACCTTTCCATGGACCACCAGCCAACCACTCATGATGACAAAATGGGTGCAGGAAGGGGTGGGGGTGCAGGAGTGGGCTGAGGGTGGGGATGGGGGTTATGGGTAGGAGGCAGGGTGGGGGGGTCTAGGTGGGTGCGGCGATGGGGTCCAGGGTGTAGGGTCTGGACATGAAGTGGTTGGGGGGGATGACACTTACCTGGCTCCGGGCCTCCTGCCGCTCACAGGCCTCTCTCTCCTCAGTGCTCACACTGGCCACAATTCCTGCCATTGGAAGCAGCAGGGAAAGCCCCCAGGCAGTTCTTTTCTGCACTGCTGCTGTTCTCTCAGCTGGGAAGAGGGGGAGCAGTAGCGTGTGGAGCTGCTTCCTTCCTGTTTCTCTCCCCTCACCCCCCACCGCCAAGAGCCAGATCTGGCCCCAACAGCAGGAAGCTGGAGCTGGCACTCCAACCTCATGGGGGTGGGAGTGTGAGGATGGAGTGCCAACACAGGCTCCCTGCTGCAGGGAGGAGGGGGAAGGGACACTGAGCCCATGGCCCACCTGAAAGACTGTCATGGACTTTTAGTGGTCCACAAACCGTACTTTCAGAACCACTGTCTTAGCACATGAATATTTTTGTAAAGAATAAATATTTAATACTTTCAGGGCTAGATTCTCAAGATAGTAAATTAGCAGAGCTCATTAATTTAAACAAATAAAACCGATGAATACTAGTGAGGATCTGCACCTTTCCTCGATTAATTTCATTATTACAACATTGGTTGGCCACAGAGAATGGCATCAACTAGAGATATCCACAGAAAATTAAAAATAAAAATTGTCCACCCCTCTGTCTGCCTCTTAGCCCTGCTCCATTCTCTGTTGTAGTGGATAGGACGGGAGATACAAATGTTCACACATGCACACCATTGAGATATTTTTATATTATTGCCAGGTAGCACTTGACAGGCAGAAACCTTTTCAGAGAAGCTTGCTGTATCTCTTCCTCAGAGGTACTTTGGCATGTCCAGGGGAGCAGCGCTGCAAGTCTTCACGATAGGGGATTCCTTGCAAATCTTTCCCTCAAAGGGAAAAGGATTAGGGAATTGTGAAAGAGTCAAGGGGTGCAACCTTCCAGCCCTAGAGATCTGTGAGGAAGGGAACAACAAGGCTACGTCTACACTGCAGGCTTCTTGCGTAAGAACTGTTTTGCAGAAGAGTTCTTGTGCAAAAAATCTTGTGCAAGAGCATGTCCACACTGCCATGTGATTTTGCACAAGAGCTTCCCTGGCAGTGTGGACACTGTATTGCGCAAGAAAACTCTTATGGCCATTTTAGCCATAGGGGTTTCTTGTGCAAGATATTCATGTTGCCTGTCTACGCTGCCTTCTTGTGGAAGAACCCTTGTGCAAGAGGGCTTATTCCTCATGGGGAGAGGAATAACTCTTCCGGAAGAAGCCCTGTTTTCCAACGCTGCACTGTAAATTTACTTGCGCAAGAACACACGTGCAGTGTAGACACCCAGCAAGTTTTTGCACAAGAACAGCTGTTCTTTCTCAAGAAGACTGCAGTATAGACGTAGCCCAAGTGTTCTGGCTGCTTCCCAGCTTTCCATTGTCAAATGATATTCAAATAGCAAGATAGTATTATTCATATGTCATGATAACCCTGGCCTCTGGTGTAGCTTTTAAAGCACTAGTCCCAGATTAAATATAGCAGGCTTAGATTCTCCAGTCACTTCAGAGTAAACTGATTCGCCTTGTTCACAATTGGCCCACCAAATCCTAGACTTCAGATCCCAGTGTGTTTTCAGTTCTTGATGTGACTGGTTCCAGACAGGAACTAATCAGTTCCAGCAGTTTGTTTCCCTTGTTTTTGTGGGTTTAGGTCAGCTCTTTTCGTGTTACTCTGTACTTTTTATGATATTTATGTTTGTAAGTTTTAACTTCAATTGCATTTCAGAAAAGATGTGAACAATTTTTGGCACTTGTATTAATTCATCTGTTAAACATACATCGTAGATTATATTTAAACACTTGGTATTTCTGCTGTGCTCTCATTCACAGTTTGGGGGTTTGGGTTCCTTGCCGTGACTCTCATTAACCTGGCATCACTCCTTGGATTGGTTTTTATTCCTCTCTTAAAGAAGCCATATTTCCCCAAGATTTTAACCTATTTTGTGGGCTTGGCCATTGGGACCCTCTTTTCCAATGCGATTTTCCAGCTTATTCCAGAGGTAAGGAAAGGTATTTGTTCTTGGTGTGTGGCATTTACTAAGTTCTAAAGTGTTGTCATTTTTGAATTGCACTATAGCATGGGGTCCTCAACATGTGGGTTGTACCCCATGGGGGAATTGAGAACACATTTTTGGGGGGGATGAGTACCATTTGTCTTAATGGCTTCAGGAGTAGAGAAACCCCATATACTTTACTGTAACATGGGGGCATTGCCTGGAAGAGACTGAGGCCCACTGTACTGTAGTATGCGTCCACCATTGGAAAAAGGGTAAAATACATTTGACCAAAATTGTCCTTACTGTAACTCTGAAGCTAATGAAATTACAGCAGTGATTGATTTGTTCAAGGCTCCTTATTGTATTGTGACTATACTGATAGAAGGCTTAGGAATGTCAGTTGTAGTTTGCTGTGTAGCAATATTGTTGCAAGAAGTAACAATGGCATCTAATCTTGCACACCATAAATAACACCATCAGTCCCACAAACAACAGTGGGTCTACTCTGGATAGTGTTCTACTCTGGTGCAGGCTCAGACCCAAGAGGTATCTACCAGAAAAAACAGGCAACTTTTACTATCACTTATCAAAGTGTTTGCAGTTTTTAGTTTAGGAATGTGAATGACTAGTCGACTATCCTATAAGCAGATAGTTGACACACTAGTTGACTAGTCGCTTCCCCACCTCTTGCTGGGAGTGGAAGGTGGAGAGGGCACTTCAAAGTGGCAGCGCCATGTGGAGCCCTGAGCCAGACCCTGGGCTCCACATGGTGCTGCCACTTTGAAATGCCACGTGCAGCCCGGGGCCAGTAGGGGAGTCCCCAACCGGCCCCGGGCTCTCTGCGGCACTGCCGCTTTGAAATGCCGCAGGGAGCACAGGACCAGTGGGGGACTGCTGGAGTGCCCCACTGGCTACATGCTCCCTGCAGCGCTTTCACCTTTGAAGTGAAGCAACAGCCCAGAGGCAACAGCTGCCTGTTGCTAAACTTCAAAGTCAGAGGAGCCTTTATTGACTAATTGAATAGTTGATGCAAATTGCATTAACTATTCAATTAGCCAACTCATCTAAATGTAACATACCTATTTTATTTCAGTTCATTGAATAAATATTAGTGGAAAGATCATCTGCAACAGGGAATTTTATACAATAGTTTTTAAAAAATCACTAGCTGACACTGTGCAATTTTAAATACTGGACCTAAATTTTCCAGTGGGTATTTTATTGATTATACAGATCCTTTTATGTACATCTGGTTTAGAGAATCAAGTGCATTTGGCACATCTAACTCAGGCAAATGGAAAAAGTTCATATGCCCTTAAGTGTGAAACTCAAATTTTGGGCCATATTTTCTAGGCAATTGATTGGATTTTTGATAGTAGTTTACTTTATTTCATTTACTTCAGATACCTGTGGCAAGCTAAAGTATTGTAACTAAATTTGGACCTCATCATACATGCTCTTTCTACTTCTGGCAATGAGAATTGTGCATGTATCTTTGAATGTTAAATGAGGCCTTTAGTGTCAAATTCTGCTTACTCTGTCCTTACTCAGGTAAAATTCCCATTGAAGTCTGTATCCTGACAGATCCTCATGCAAGCAGACTTGCTTTCCCCCACTTTAAAGTAATAGAAGTTTCTTCCTGTGTCAGGTTTAGTGGGGATTTTAGCTGTTAGGGAAACATGAATTTCTTCCTCAAATACTACTGTGGGGAAGACATTAAACATAGATCAAATAGTGGCAAACCAATATCAATATTGCACATGTAGAGAAATACATTTAAATTACCTGTTGTAGAAAGAGATTATAGAAATAAATGTAGTATATTTTCCACACATTTGGATTAATCATCTTTGGGATTTTGTTCATGCAACATTCTACCATCTAGTAATTAAATTGACTTGTCATTATTTCATTTTAACCTATGACTATCATACATCTATATTACTATCTGGAAGGGGAGGGTATATTTTCTATGCATGCAATGTCCAAAACAAAAACAAATGTTGTCAAGAATATAATGGCTCTTAGACAGTCAGTATCACTTACTGAGTACTATGCTCATTGAAGTAAATGGAGAGACTTTAGTGAGTGACTTTTACACTCTACTTGGAAATTATACCAGCCCAGCTAATGATGGCCTAAATTAAAAGATTTAGGCTTGAGTAATAAGTTGTGGTATGTCTACACAGCAGTGTTATAACTGACATTATTGTGAAAGAACATAGCGTGCATCTACACTACAAGCCTTTATTTCGAAATAATGTTGAGCTGAAGGACTTCTTACTCCCAACTCATGGTAACCCACATTTCATGAGGAGTAAGGGAAGTCGAAGGAAGAGTGTTCTTCCCGCTGTGTAGACAGCGCCAAAAGCCGAATTAGGCTGTTTTGACTTCAGCTACACAATTGATGTAGCTGAAGTTGGGTAGCTTAATTTGATTTTAGCCCTGCTGTGTAGACTTACCCTTAGAGTTAAAACCAATGGGTGGTAGGAGATACATGGTCCTTTACAAAATCCAGCCCAACTAATTTTTTCTCTCCTGAGTTTGACTAAGCTGATTTGCTGTTATATTCTCTTCTAGGCATTTGGATTTGATCCTAAAACTGATAACTATATTGAGAAAGCAGTAGCTGTGTTTGGTGGATTCTACATTCTCTTCTTTGTGGAAAGGATTCTTAAAATGATACTGAAGACCTATGGCCAGGTAGCTAACAGGACTGATGTATCAGATGGTTTTGATATATTTTGACAAGTTATGTTACAAGTCGGCTTTTTTATATTACAAAATTGAGCCTTGGATTGAAACAGCTGTTACATTTTTATGAGATACTTAGTGTGAAATATTTTATGATCACCAAATTACCAATTTCCAAGGAACTCAGTCTCACAATACCCCTTTAGGATTCTTGGTCAAACTGAAGTTCAGAGAGGCTCAGTAACTGAAGGTATGTTTACACCACAGAGGGGTTTTTTTTTTTTTTTGGAAAAACAGCTGTTTTCCCGAAAAACTTCAGTTATGTCCACACTGCAGTCGCATTCTTTTGAAAGAAAATTGAAAGAACAGAAGGGTTTTTCTGACATTGATAAACCTCTTTCTACGAGGAAGAGGCCTTTTTCCAAAAGAGCTCTTTCGGAAAAAGGTGTGTGTGGATGGGGAAGAGGGAGTTCTTTCGAAAGAAGAGGAAAAAGCACAGGTGCCCTGGTGACATTCTGTCCATAGTAATCACAGCTTAAATGCGAGATGGCGTCCATTCAGTGTGGATGCTGTCTTTCGAAAAAACATATTGCTTTTTCAATGTTCTTTGGCAGTGTGGACGTGCTCTTTCGGAAGAAGTTTTTTCTGAAAGAACCCTGCAGTCTAGATGTAGCCTTAATCTAGCTAACATAGGACATGTCTACACTAGGAAATTCCTTCAAAATAATGATTTCGAAATAGCATGTCCTCACTACAGAGAAGACTCCCTTAATGTGGATGTGCTACCTCGCTACCAGGAAGCACTGGGGAATAATTACTCTGAGTGACTCCGAGGAGTAGTTTTTTCAAAATAGCAGTGGAGCATCCACACCACTGCTGTGTTTAAATTAACTATTTTGAAATAAGCATTATTCCTCATGGAAAGCAGGAGATACTATTTCTAAATAAACAGCCCCTTATTTTGAAATAATGGGCTTGGTAGCATGGACACTCCTTTTATTATTTTGAAGTAAAGGGAGTTATTGGGGACAAAGGCATAGAGCAGCAGTTCTCAACCTTTTCCAGATGGGGACCCATTTTGACAATGCAGGAAGACTTGGTGACCCAAGGCAATTAAAAAATGGGGAGGAAAGGTGGCAGAGCCACCTGGGGAGATACTTGGTGACCCTTTTGAAATGTAATGGTGACCCATATTTGGGAAACCCTGGCATAGAGACTTAGAAGCAGAGCTGGAAATAGAACCCAGAAACAGAATTCCCATCTCCTGCGCCATTAGGGCCACACTGTACTTGGCTTCAAAGACTAACTCCTGTGAGCAAAACCTGAATGAATGGATTTTCCTGGTGGAAATACATAAATGGCATTTTACCCTGAAAGCCTTGCCTTGGGCACTCATGCAGATACTGTAGGGTGTAAGAAGGAGAAATAGATACTGCCAGACACTCCCACCCTTGAATGTTCATAGCTTAGTGACTCTTCAGTGATTGTGCTTTAACCTCACTGCCAATATCTTATGTCCTCTCTAGTGTTCCCTCTAATTCTTTTCATCCGGGGACAGAATACATTTTGTTATGTGCACTGAGGCATGTGCAGATGTGCACCGCCAGTAGAAACACATGTTGCTGGCTGTGGGTACTCTGCTAATCAGTAGGGTGGTACCTGAATCTCTCCTGGGTAGCCGCCCAAGCACTCAGCTTATAGGGGATGCTGATCCTCTCCATGTTTCAGTGCAGGACCCTTAATAATGGGCTCTGCACTGGCTCTCAGTTTCCTCCCCACTTCACACTGTATTTTCTTGTGTGTACAGGCTGCAGCATGTGTCTCTCAGACTTTCAGAGTTTAAATCTTACCTCAACTGTCTGGGGTGAATTCTCTCTCATGCAATCCCATCTCCCCTGCCACTGAAGTTTACAAACCGCTGGGAGATGCCCCATGTAGTTGCACCACATCCCTGTGGCTATTTAAACCAATTACCTACATAGAACAGGAACATTCAGTGCTAGTGCATCTTAACAGCTGGACTGAGAAGGGAAAAAAGCACCTTGTGAAGAGCCAGCAGATTAATGATCAGCAAATGCTCTGCAGCCTATCTGTTGTCTACTGATCAGTTTGGGAAGTTCTGCCTAAGAGTATAATAAGCACAAATAGACTTCTATGTGTCCATCCGAATGGGTAAGCTGGCTTTTCTTGCAGCGTGTATCTGGACATATATTCCTATTTTGCAGTTTCTGTTTTTATGTTTTTCTTCCCTTCACTTAGAATGGCCACACTCACTTTGAAAATCATGAACAGAATCCTCCTCAGACTAAGAATAATCCACCTGCACCACTGAAATCTGATAATGGGATGATGTGCTATGCAAATCCAGCCACAATAGAACCGAATGGAAACCTCAGTTTTGACACTGTTAGTGTGGTCTCTGCTCAGGTATGAGCATTGTTTTATGTAATGTATTGTTTCCTACTTGTTTATACAAGCTTATCTAGGAAGAAAAGCTAACAGGCATTAATAAACTTCTAGCTCATGACTCACTTAAGCACTATGAAAAAGCTGCCAAGTCAACACTAACATATCAGTGCTAGCACAAGTAAGATACCAATCAGTATTTCAGAGTCTCATTTTACTAAGTTCAAATTTTAATTGTTTAGTAGCATGTATCTTTCACATAGCAACCACCACTTCGTATAGTTCATAATTAAACACTTCCTACAACTATTTTTGTAGTTGGAGGAATATGGTGTATTTGTAGAATACAGAATTTTCTAAAGAGAAAAAGCGTTGTTTATATAACTTCAATATTTATTTAACTATCCATTTCAACCACTAGGCCTAGCTAATGGATTTCTAAGAGGCTTTATGTACAAATGTCGTGTTTACAAATGTAGCACAATTACTGTACATTGTATGAGCAAACATCTAGCAAGTTGCAAAAATTTCAAATAAGATAGTTCATTTTGTGATTTATCTGCCTGAACAGGTTCATTGACTAAATGGTGCCAGACTTATAATTTCATTTCTACCTCTGGGCTATTAGTCATGAGTCCTACATATTCAGACTCAGCAGCTCTGCATTAAAAAAATTTTAAGCTTAGAACTATTCAATAGCGCCATGAAAATTACTGTCAGTACTTGGCAATACGATAACTCTTTCATTTCTAATGAACTGGCTGAGCTGGCTCTTTGGTACCCTACTTGAGCCCCAAGTTTGTATTATCTAGTGTCTCAGATTGCGTGGTCTGTAAAATCCACAGTCTGACGCTTGATGTATGTGCCTCAACAGAGGAACCAAGGGCTAATAGGCAGTGAGATACCAATTCCACAGTCAGAGTGATTATCCTTCCACAGAATATAGGTCTAATTCTGCAAGTACGTGTGATTAAGTGGAGTAGGTTCATTGAAATGAGTGGGGCTTCTCATTTAAGTAGATTTATTTTGCAGGATGTTTTCTCAGTAATATGGGAAAGCGTGCGCTGCTGTTATCTGATCGGTGTAAGCCTTGTGGACAAAGAACTTTGGTCTCCATGACAATTAGTACTTGATCTGTTAGCAGCTCTACATTAAATAAAAGGAAAGAAATCCATTGTCTCCTTTGCAACTGTTTTATGCTTCACGTAACTGCCAAGTTCTTTCTGCAGGAAGAGAAAACCCAGAGGTGCCTATGCAAATGTTTAAAGGGACCCACCCTCTCAGAGATTGGAACAATTGCCTGGATGATCACACTGAGTGATGCCTTGCACAATTTCATTGATGGTCTGGCCATTGGTGCTTCCTTCACCCTGTCATTACTGCAGGGCCTCAGTACATCTATAGCAATCTTATGTGAAGAGTTTCCTCATGAACTGGGTAAGATAGATGTTTGCTTAACTCAGCTGTCACTCATGTTGGTGCTGATTGAAAATGTTCTTTGGTAGTTACATGAATGAGTGCTGGGTTATAACTTTCATACACGTTACATGTCTCCTTTCCTTCAGAAAATAAGTGCTTAATGTCTTCCCTTCACCCTCTTTTCTTCCCCCAGGGGATTTTATCATTTTGGTAAATGCTGGGATGAGCACCTACCAGGCTCTGTTTTTCAACTTTCTTTCATCATGTTCCTGCTACATTGGTCTGATTTTTGGTATATTAGTGGGCAGCAACTTTGCTCCTAATGTTATCTTTGCAGTTGCTGGTGGTATGTTCCTGTACATTTCTCTGGCCGATATGGTGAGATACCATTTCATTTCATTTCATTTCATTTCATTTCATTTATGCATGCATAGGAATATGGGCATTTCCACTGAGGAACTCAATAGTGGCTCGTTCATTATAATTTGGTATTCTGCCCTTTGATGGCTGTAGGAGATATGATGAACCTCCCTGGGGTGCAACCTGGAACTGGCGTAATGTAGAGCTCTCACCCCAACATGGTCCCCTCTCAAGCTCTTGAGATCATGACAAGCTGCAGACCTCTCCAGCTTTTGCACTTATACAGCCTTGCACAAGCAGACACTAGGGATGTTAAATATCGGTGAACTGAACAGTTGAGTAACCTCATGAATTTTTATCGGTTAGTTGACTATTCTATGAGTCCCTGGGGGTGGGGCTGGGAGCCACTGTCTTAGAGGCAGTGTGGGGTGCCAGGCAGGAGCTGGTCCACGAGGGGAGCCAGTTTAAAAACAAGCTTCCTTTGTGGACCAGCTGCCTGTTGCCTCTGATAAAAAGGCAACCACGCGGGGTGGCAGCAGCCCCTGTAAGAGGGGTCTGAGCCCCTGGACCTGGTGTGAGCTGCAACTGAGCTGAACTGCCTGGCCACCTGGTTCTGAAAACACTAAATGCAGAGCTGCAGCAGGGGTAGGTTCTAGACCTGGCTTGAGCCATAACTGAGCTGGGCTGCTGGCCAGCCTGCTAAAAAAATTACTGGCAAAGGTGGGGGGAGGGAAAAGCATGTAGTCTACAGTATTAACCTATAAGCTTTTGCTTATTGGTTAACCGGTTAATTGACTACACTATTACATCCCTAGCAGAGACATATCCAGCTGTAGTTACATGAATGCTTCTCCTAGCCCCTCATGATTTAATGAAGAGGTTCCAGCAAGCCCCTCCGCCACCTAGCCTAGGTTCCCAGAGCTGAACTATCTTGCCCCGGTCAAAAGCCTGACCCACAGAAGTTTATTTTCCAGTCAACCCCCTCCCTCACCAAGAGGGCAATGCACCCCGTCCTTGTTCCTGAGCAGATTTCCCTTTCAACTTCAAGTACAGTTTTAGATTAGAATAAAAAAGATTAACTAGCAAAAGGTTGATTTCAAGTGATAAATAACAGCATACAGATTAAAGTTAGTTATCCGAGAAATAAAACAAAAGTGCAGTATCAGCTCTATACAGCATTGAATGAAGCAGTACATCACCCTGATGACATAAACAGTTCACCAGCCTTCCATACACAGGCTAGAAATCCCTGCAGCTTGTTACCACATCTCCAGTCTTCCTTCCTGAGATGTTTCCAGGTATTTAGCTGTAAGGGGAGGGAAGCTAAGGGATGGTGTCACTTCCTCATTTTATAACTTCTTCCACGTGCAGGGAACTTTGTGCCAAGTGAAGTACCCAGCAGAGTTCTAGGAAAAGAACAGGCACAAGATAGAATTCAGTATCAAAAGGATCTAATCATATGCTCTTGCATACTTCACAGAATTACAGCAGCCATTACTCACATATTGGCTGAAATACCCCCAGGAAAGCCCAAGCTTTTTTTCTGTGGTCTGTTGTGTTTCTTAATGGGCCATTCCCTTGGATGGCTCATCCACAATATGCTGGCTAGTCCGACTGTAAGCTGTTTTGTGGGTGTAATCCCAGAAGCATACACATTTGAAATATTGGTACATAGTCAATATTGATAACAATCACAGTGCATATAATCCAACAGGATATTAATGTTTAACACATCAAGACATTCAGAATGACACTTTACAAGACATACATTGTACAAACCATATCGTAATTATATCCCATGGTAAATATGGGAATGCTAGGGTTTTGCTTTCAAGCACAGAAGGTCACAGCGGATATATTATAAGAACGGAAAAACCTTATTAGTGCCCCATGCCAACTGTGCCACACTATATGAATGGAAACTGAGTCATATGTTTGCCCAATTTTACATATATTCTGAAAGAATTGTCACTCCTCTGGTGTTTTTGGCCAGCATAAGTATGATCAAATAAGGTAGAATAGTTAAGTGCCCAAAGTTCTGATTTCTAGGGTACTAGAAGGCTTTTCTGCACTTCATTATGGCAGTCTCAAGTCTCTGGTATGGTATTTCTGAGACTTGAGCCCTTGTTCACTTGGTCTCTTGCACCTTTTCACATTACATATTCATTAGCTTTCCTCTAGGAACGTTAAATATTGAGTTATGACTAATTAAATAGTCGATGTATTTTGCATTGAGTATTTGATTAGTTGATAGGGCACCTCCACCTTTGAAGTGTAGCGTGGAGCCTGGGGTCAGTTGGGGACTCCTCCACTGACCCCGGGCTGCATGTGGCGCTGGCGCTTTGAAACGCTGCGGGGAGCCCAACATCAGGCTCCACACAACATTTCAAAGTGGCAGCACAGCAAGGAGCCTGGAGTCAGTGGGGGAGTCCCCAGCTGATCCCGGGCTCATGCAGTGTTGCTGCTTTGAAATGCCATGTGCAGCCTGGGGACGTCCCAGCTAGCCCCGGGCTGCACATGGCGTTTCAAAGCAGGAGCACTGGGTCTGGCTGCAGGCTTCGTGCAGTGCTGCCACTTTGAAATACCTCTCGTCTTCCTTCCTCCCTTGCTGCCTCTTTCTGATAGAGGCAGCAGGGGAGGGATGGGGGAGGGGGAGAAGCGACTAGTCGACTAGCCTGTTGACTATCTGATAAGTATTTGCTTATCGGATAGTCAACTAATAGTTCACATCTCTACTTTCCTCCACTCAACATTAACCACTGGCTCATATAAAACTTTAACAATATGCATATGCAAGCAACATAATTTTTGTTTTTTTCATGTCATGTCTTTGTTACCCATGTTTTTCCAATATAGAAATTTAGCATCATTTTATGTATTATCAGGGAAGAGGAAGTTAATGTAAGTCCTCTGACATAACACCACCTTTGTCCTGTCAGCTGTAAGCATTATTGAAATAAGTCTAGGTAGGAGAGAGTTTGACAAAAACACATATCTCAAGAAAAAGCTACACCAAAGCCTTACCATAGGTTCTATTCAAACTCATACATCAAAGTATTAACATTAAACCAACACAACCCTTTTTTACCATTCAACAATTGTCTTTATATTTCAGTATCAGTTTGTTACACGCGTATCACAAGTATCTTACATCTTTCATTAACTGGTAGTTGAGTAGGAAAGTTATGAAGAACAGTAACCTGTCAGCATTAACTTGTCTTTTCTAAACACAGGTTTCCAGGAGACTTAGTCTCCAACTCTAGTATCATGCTTTAAGTTATTAAAAAGCTTTGTCAGTCATCTCTTTCCCACTGCATTTTGAAGTGCTTTTTATTCAGTTTCAGGCCTGGGTGTGTGTGGGAAGGGGGCAGCTGCCCAGGGGACCCAGCAATTTAAAAGGGCCCGGGGCTCCTGGCTGCTACTACTATGGCAGTAGGGGAAGCTGGAGCCCTGGACCCTTTAAATCACTGCCAGAGCCCTGCGTGGTGTCCTCCAGGCCACCCTAAGGGCTGGCTTGGAAAGGGGGGAGGGGTCAGTGTGGTCCGGGCAGTGCTGAGGGCTGCCCCAGGGCCCGACCCTTCTGCCTGAGGCCCTCACCCTTCCAGGAACATGGAACTGCCCCAACCCCTTGCCCAGAAGCCCAGCAATTCTATTGGCTACCCTGATCACTTTTGGACTTTGCTAGTCAAGTATTTCCCACCCGACTTAGAATTGCACAAAAGCAGACATTAGCCGTGAGTAAAGACCCTCACTGTCATACTTGCTGATTCAATACAAATGATGTGCTTTTCTTCATAATAGGCTCTGTGGCCTACCTGTTCTTTCATTAAGAAGATGTAGGGTTAGGGAGACAGTGGGATCCAGATAACTTTTAGATTAGGTCTTCTGGCTTGAAAGCTGCAGTTTGCACTCCCCAGCATTAAAGATGTGCACTTTTTTATACAGGCAGTCCCCGGGTTACGTACAAGATAGGGACTGTAGGTTTGTTCTTAAGTTGAATCTGTATGTAAGTCAGACACTGCTGAAACTGACCGCCAGTTCTGACTTACATACAGAAGATCCAGATAACTTTTAGATTAGGTCTTCTGGCTTGAAAGCTGCAGTTTGCACTCCCCAGCATTAAAGATGTGCACTTTTTTATACAGGCAGTCCCCGGGTTACGTACAAGATAGGGACTGTAGGTTTGTTCTTAAGTTGAATCTGTATGTAAGTCAGACACTGCTGAAACTGACCGCCAGTTCTGACTTACATACAGAATCAACTTAAG